GGCTTGTCTTATCTCATGGCCAAAATGCTTGGTTATTTGAAGTCATTAGCAAAGGTCCTGACAGACGTGCTGTGGGATTATGGCATATTTATCTGAACAGGAAGGCAGAGCCCGGTGCAGCTCCTCTGTTGGCCTCCAGAGTGACGGGATGAAGAGGAAAAGGATGAGGGAAGCCACATATAGACTATAAAAATGTGTGTGTAGGAACCCCTTTTCCTCTGGCTGCCCTTCCTTCAGCTGGCCTTGGAGAACCCGATGAGCCCTTTCGGTTCCTCTGTTGCTCCCAGATACTGAGCTGAGATCCTGACAAGCAGTTTTTCCCAGATGCACTTGGAGAGCCACTGTTGCTTTCCCTGAGTAGGATAAAATTCAGTGGGGAACAGAGACAGGCTATCCACAGGCACCCAAATGTGTGGCACCTGATCTCCAACAGGCAGGCAAAGAGGAACAGTGGGCAAGCCCCATGGTGGCAAAATAGCACTGGGTCTGGGTAAAGAAACAGACCCACCAGGATCCCATTTGCCTTGTGGCAGAGGACGCTTTGCCTCCAGGAAGACCCTGTGCAAGGAGAGGTGTGGGGCAGCGGCGAGGGAGCCCTTGCTGCTGACTGTGGTGGGATGAGCCTGTGGGAGCCCCTGGGGCTTCGAGAGCCTAAACCACATGTGCCCTCCACACTGTCCGCACTGAGGCAGCAGGAGGAAAAGCTGAGGGTGTGAGAATGATCACGAGCTGTGAGTGGAGGATGGATCTCTCCTACTGTAAGTTTTTTACCTACATGTGCTCAAAATGACAGAGGTATGGACTGTCTGCAGTGTGGCCACTACTTGTCGGGGTTTTTTTTAATTTTTTTTTTCTCTCCTGTGAGGAGAGAAACAGGACCCTCTTTGCTCCTGTTTTGTTTTTCCTTTCACTCTCCAGGGTTTTTTTCCACTTTTGGATTTTCCTCTCTCTCCCCGTGTCCCCATTTTCCTCTGCTGTTTCAGCTGCTCTCCTAGTGATGAGTACAGATCATCCCCCTGATTGTTGTAGTCTACAGTTCCTAGAACTACATTTATTTGTATTTGTTCTTGGAACCAAGATGGTAAAAATAGCCTAAAGGCCATGGAAATAGTGAGGGAGGGGAGTATAATGCATTGTACATTGCTTTCATGGATTGCCAAAAGGTGGAAACCCTGTTGATTGGAACTGAATTTTCCCATGTCTCAAAGTTAGCCTGCAGCTTACTAAGTTGATCTGGAGGCCTGGGAAAGGACATATTCCATTGAGTAGAGCTGCCATCTTTTGGAAAAAAAAGAGGAAATCTGGAAGAAGGGGGAGATGAAGAAGATGAAAGTGGGCAGTGAGGGGAAGAAGAAAGATTAATAAAGTGAAGGGAAAAAACCAACAGCAACAAAAAACAAAACACAAGAACTGTCAGAGAAAAAGCTGCATGTAATTTAGTGTCCTGACTTGGAATGTGATTGTACCATGTGTGGGAGAGAGGAGAGTAAACATCTCTAATTGCCCCATGAAGAGGTCTTGCTCTGATCTCAAAAAATCATCTATTTATTCAGTCTCCAAAACAGAGATCCTATATAATTTTCAGCCTGGCTTATTAACAAGATGTGTTGTAACAATGTGAGCCCTATGAACATGAGGTATTCCTGGGGCTGGAATCAGGTTTCTGCACTCCATCATGGAAGAGCTATGTTTTTGCACAGGAGAGCCAAACCTGCAGGATGCAGCTGGAAGGTGCGTGAAAGGTGAAGTGAGTGCTGAAGAATGATGAAGGGCCCTGCCATCTTCTGCTGTGAACCAAGCTTAGCCAGTAAGATCTGCACAATGTACTTTGAGCTACTACTGCCTGGTTCATTGCAGCAGTCTCTGCTGTGGGGTCACCAGTTAGTGGAGGTACGATGCCCAATTACAAGGCTGTAGAGATCCCTGCCCCTTCTCCCAGCATGGAGAGCTGGAGAAAAGACTGGTGTTGGCAATCTCCTCACCCTAGGATGATGTGATGCTGACTGGTTTGCACCCCTGCTGCCTAGGGCTATCTAATCTATAGCAAATTTGTCTGAGAGAGGAATATCTGGTGCTATATGAAGCTGCGTCAAGCAGTAAGAAAACAGGCAAGGTGAATGATCGCTGCCGAAGCTTGTTCCCAGGCCCTCTTTCATTTAGCCAGAGGTATACACCTGTAGGAGATCAAAACCTAGGTCATGCTTTTCTGCATAATTTCATCACAGAAACAGTGATGTTATGGATGGTGGTGCCTTCAGGTGTCTGCAAACTGGCTAAAGTCACCGCCTCACTGCTTACAGTGTCCCAAACAAGGACTTTGAGGTTTTAAAGTGTTTATCTGAAGCACTGGCAAAGGTCATCTAGGGTGTTGCAGTAAAGTTGTAACTTTCCAGGATTCAGAGTAGCTATTCATCCAAATGTCTCATGAACTCAACCAGGCATGTGTAAGCAAATGGTAGTGTAGTGGAATGAGTATATGGGAAGCGTATGTGCTTTCCCCTCTAGACTACATAGTTTTCATTCTGTTTCGGAAATAGCTGTGACATTTGGGCTTCTAAACAGAGCTCCAACTGAAGATGCTCATGGATGTAATTTAGTTGTACTTCTATATCTCTTTCTTCTCTGCTCCCCTTTCATCACCACTTCTGCCTCAGCTCTTTCACTGGCATACTGCCTTCCCACTCTTCCCCCCTCCCTCTTTCTGTTCTCTTCTCTTCTCTGCATCTGTTTTTAATGCTTCTGCTTTCTTCATCAGTCAACATCTTCCCTCGTTCTTTCTTCCCTTGCTTCTTTCCCAGTACCAAAGAGCATAATTTTTTACTGTATGTATAGGATAAAATGTTTAAAATACTGGTTTGACCCTGACATCTGTCCTCAAAGTTTTAAAGGCATTCTTTCAAGAGGTTACAGTTACAGGCTTTGTATACAAACCCGTCATCTTCCCATCCTTAGAAGTGTTCAGCTCTTGCAGCACGCAGAGCTGAAGTTCCAGGAAAACTTCGGGGAAGCTGGGAATTGCTTTCTGTAGAATATGTGCACTAGTGCATACTCTCATGCATCTGTCATTGGGATATTTTAGATTTCTTTGACCAACTGGCATCTTGCAGCACAACTGATATGGTGGCAAATATTGATAAGCCATTTTTGGAAAGAGAAAGAAAACGGGGTGAACACTGAGGAATCAAGGTCACTTTGACATCACCTATGCCAGACAGTTGAAATGATTTTACTGAAGGAATCTTCTCCTGTATGACCTGCAGTGTAACTGCGCTGATGTCTCTCAGCTGCTAGGTTTTCTGGCTTTGGGTCTGGCAGCCTGTGATGCACATGTTGTGCATGACAGGAGCGTAATGGATAAGATGTGTGAAACTTTGACAACCAGCTACTAGACTATGTTTTCTTTTGGGAATCTAAGTAGCTTCAGAAGCAATGTTGCAATACTGGACAGAACCCAAAGGAATCTGGTCTAACTCCACTGTTCAGCTAAGAGGTGGCTGTGGTGTTTGCACCAATGGGTTTCTGAAATAGGTAAAATGCTGAGCACAGCTACACTGGTACACAGTTTACAGGGGACTAACTCTTATGATTCAGAATTGAGGTAATAGCCAGCAAGGATAAAGGCAACATTTTTTATTGGGGTAAAGCTTGAAGACCAGTGGAGGCTTTATACTCACCCTCGAGCAGAGCTGTGAGAGCAGCACACAGGCTGATTATCAGGCACTGTCCCCATTTATTTGTCTTTGTGGTGGTCCATACAATCTCCTCCCCAGTTTGTGGAAACTGTCAGGATAAACCATCTCACCTTTGACATTTCAGCATGATTGACCTGTTGGGATATAAGAGTTTCTCTTGTTTGAAGCCAGCCGGCTTCTCAGACATAGACCTGGACCCTGGACTTGATTACTGCCAAACAGTATAACCAGGAGTCAAACAAAATTCCTCAAAAGCATCTTCCGATGCAAGTGCAGCAGCACATCTACCTAGGAATGCACATTTTTGCCAAGCTCACACCACAGCATCAGTCTTCATGTCTGTTACAAAGTCTGTATAGTAGTCAAAACCTTCCCTGATCTGTATCTAACCATTTTAGAAATGATACTTTGCTTCAAAACCATAGACACCCGTGGCAAAAGATGTAGGTAAGCAAAGACAAGGGATTGCAGGACACATCTTTAAAAAGTGCTGTCCCTGTGCTCCTTCTCACAAGAGAATAGAGTGACTATGGAGCTCATAATCCTGAACAAAGTGCAGAACACCTGCCATTGCACTTCTGGTTTGATTCAGGGAGTTCTGCACAAAGATGGATTCATGTTCACAAAAAATGCACCCCAGTCCTGGCTCCTCCTTCCCTTCTACCCCCACTCAAACAGCTGAATGGAAAAGTGAAATAACATATTTTCTATTCATTTTTGAGAAAGAAAAACTGGTCATTTCTCTTATAAATATTTGGAAGACTTTGAAATTAAAATTAACAAAGTCATATAAAAGCCTTCTTGAACAGGTAGATCCAACTTTAAAAAAAAATCCTGGATTTTGGACTGTCACAGTTTGTGAGCCTCACTTTATTTACACTACAGAAAGACTCTTGCAAATTAAATCTGTACAGATAGTGAAGTAGCGCTTTGGAGAAGTAATTAAATATTGCCTCAGTGTTCATTTCTATTTGCTGAAGGAAAGACTTTATAGCTCTTTTTGAAAACAACTTTCTTCCTGCCCCTGCCATCCTGCAGAGAGGCTACATCACTCACTGCTGCTTTTTTGCAACAGTTTCTGCACTCTTTCCCATTTAACTCTGTTTTATCCTCGCACCTACTAATTTATTGCAGCCGTGGTGGGAGCTGGCATTTGTGGCTCACCGGCCCCAAAGGAGTTAACTGGGTTTATTACATAATCTGTTTAACATTCGAAATGAATAGGAAATGCACGCCCCTCCTCTCCTACAATATGTTTGTGCACTTTAAATCGCACTCCTCCCCGGCTGTGTGTAAGCCCCACGCCACTCGACATGCCCTGAGACTCCGCGTGTGTGCTTGGGCGCGCACTTGGATGCCTGCCTGCAGCTTTGCCCCGTTCCCGCTGTGTTCATGCGACCGGCGGCATTGCACACCCGAAGGTATCTCTGTGTGTGTGTGTGTGTGTGTGCATGCACATGAGAAGAGAGGAGTGAGGGGAGGCGAGACGGTCACGTTTATAGGAAGTGCCAGAAGTCAATGCAAAGTGTGAAAGCAAACTCTGACATCTCTTGGACGGCTGCCAGTGGACAGACCACCTCGCATAATGCCATCTTTTGATGAGGTCTTGAAGGAAGCTGGGGAATTTGGAAGATTTCAGAAGAGGGTCTTTTTCCTCCTTTGCCAGACGGGCGTAACTTTTTCTTTCCTGTTTGCTAGTGTGGTTTTCCTTGGGCAGGCACCGGGCAACTACTGGTGCAGGATCCCTGGGGCAGCTGAATTAAGTGAACGATGTGGATGGACACTGGAAGAGGAACAAAACTTCACGGTACTGCCCCTACTCCTGGGGAATGGGTCCTCCAGCGGGGAGTGCGAGAGGCTGGACATTGCGTGGGACACCGCTGTCAGCTGTGCCAGCCCACTCACCCACTATGGCAATCACAGTGCGGGCAACCTGCCGCTCACCACATGCCACGATAACTGGGTGTATGAAAAGCCCCATTCATCCATAATCAGCGAGGTAAGGAAAATCCCCATCCTCTAATCTGTGGCTTCTGTCCTGGTGTAGGATTGCAGCAGTAAAATGGGAGTGCTGCTGCAAGTGTCTTTGCTTTGGTGGTTGGTTTTCCTTTCCGGATTTTTGTTCCAAGTCACAAGCAAATCAGGACAATGAGTATGATCAAGTGTCAGCATCAAGCTTTTAGGGAAAAGTGAGATGATCTGAAGGGTGGCTCTCCAAAGCCAAGCACCCCATGCAAAACCAGACACCCCACACAGAGATTGCTCTGTCGCTAGAGGGATGTCACATTAAAATAGTTAAGTCCTTGCAGCTGAGGCTTCTGGTGCTCAGCTTTGGGCCAGCAAATTTGGTGGTGTAAATTCCAAGCATAGCTGACTGATACCACTTGATGATCTAGATCACTGTATATTATGCATTCTCTGTATTTCCAGTACTGTACATTTAAGTCTGCAGGTAATAAAAAAAAATTGTGGCAGACTGCCCTTTTGATATCTGACAGGAGTCAGCAGAAATTAATGTGTTTATTAAAGAAAAAAAAAATCACACATTTTTGCCCAAAACAATCATTCAGCTTTTCCTGAAAGGTCAGCATCAGAGGACTGCAGACTATTACTGCTAGTGGTAAGTGCTGGCAAATGTAGTGGTTTTTTATTGAGGCTGTGAAAGGCCATTTAAGATGCTTTCCTAGGAGATCCTCTGTGTAATTTGTAATCATGCTGTGGATGTGCTGTAGTCTGGCTCCATCACACAGTCTGCACACTAGAAGTGTATCTTTTAAGGTGATCCTGACAGTAACTGTCACCAATGCAGTGATGAAAAATATGAAGTGTGCTTAGAGGGGTTGGCTAGGACATCATCAAGGTGTACCTCAAAATGTGTTAGCACAACTGTGGGCTTTGGCTGCTGCCTGTCTCATGAGCCTCCTGCTGTGGCTTTTAGCTGGGTGCTTGCACTGGACGTGTGCCCTCTGAAACAGGGCAAAGTCTCAAGCAAACACTGAACTGAAAAGTGGTACCTATCCCGACCTTTCAATTCACCATCGTTCCACCATCCATCTTGGACTGTTGGATCTGCTCTCAGGTTTCAGACTCTTCAGAGCAGCAGCTTTGGTGCCCTGAGCACCGTATCTGACCTGTGCAGATTTACCCAGCATCTATGCTCAGGAGGAGATAAATCAGAGCACCTGGCTGGCCCTAGAGCAGAGGTTCAGTACTGGCTTTTGTGTGTGATTGTCAAAATCAATGCTGCTTGGAGGGCTGCAAGTGTTGTGCAGGGAGCTGGTGTCAAACTCTGGTCCCTGGGAATGGTGTATCTCTGCCCCAGCTGGCAGTGACATCCAGGGCTGGGTGGGCAGGAGGATGAATGCTGCCCGGGACCCACAGTCTCACTCTGGAGCAAACTACAGGAGGTGACTGTGGTGGGAAGGTTATGCTTCTGCTGCTGAGGAACCTCTGCTTAGGGACTGCAAGGGGTTAGGTCATGGTGTTTTTCCTTGGGCAGTCTGTGCTAGCCATTCCCCTCAGAGATTAAGAATAAAAATACAGAGATTCATTTTCTTTTGTTATTCCTTTTCTTTTTTTTTTTTTTTCCCCTTCAGCCTTGCTGTAGGTGAAAGAATGTAAGTTGTGTCCATAAAACTGTTCTCAGAGTCTGTTTAGGACAGCAGTTTGTGTATCTAGCAAAGCCACTGTGATTTTCCAGCAGCACTGAGCCACTGGGTACAGCTACGAGAAAATGAAACCAGTCGTTTTGTTGCAGCAATAAATGGGAGTGAAAGGTTCAATGTTCTCTGGCAAACACCTCACCCATCTGCACCTTCTCCCTCTCTTCTCCTGGCAAGACCCTCCTGGCAAGGGAGGGAGAAGGAATGAAGGGATGCCTGGGGAAGTGATCCCCACTTGCACTCCCAAAGGCACACATTGGGAAAACCAGGGAGTAAAAGTCAGATAGCGACAGGTTGGGATAGTCTGTCTGCTGTACCAAGGTGTCAGGTCTCATCATCAGAGTCACTGCAGCTCCTAGAGTGACTGTCGTTGACTGGGTGCACCTTGGCTGGAGGGTGCTGAGCTATGATCTGTTGCACTTGAGTCTTGTTCCCAGTTTTGCAACATTTGCTGGATAAATCACATCCCACGAGGCTTGGTTTCTTCATCTGTAAAGGAAGCTTGTGTCATGCATGTCATGGATTAATTACTTTGAGATCAGCTATTAAAAGGAGCCTGATGTCTTAATGCATTATACATCCAGAAAAAATAATTTAAATTCCAGATTTAATTTAGACTTCTTTCACTCAGCTGAGGCTCTAACAAATCATGACTCAATTCGAGCAGATTTATGCTCTGTTTGATCAGCTCACCAAAGACATCTTTTCTCATGTGTCTACTTGTGTTTCATGTTGTCCACGTGTACAGCAATGTTTCTGTTTCTTTCAATTATCCTAAGATTTCTGGCACTTTATGTCTGACTGAATCAACATTGGAAGTGACCAGGAAGGCAAAGTTAAAAGGATGAATTACATGACAATCTGAAGGATACATATTCAGGGAGTGAGTAGGGGAAACAAAAGTCAGGTTACTGAAGGATTCTGCCAGGCCTATGGCAAGTGCAGATCTGGTGTGGATTTGTAGAGTGGCAGGGGAGTCAGGGGGCAAGTGCAGGCGTATAAAGCCTTTGCTGGGAAAAGATGTCATATCACAGAGCAGGTCCAGCAACCAAATCACAGGCTATTGCAATCAGTTCTAAGCACCCTAAAAGAACTGAATCATATATCTGGAAAGAGGATAACTTATGGGGAGTTGTGAAATGAAAGGTATCACAGTACCTGATTTCATTCATTGTGCATGACTGGAGCATGTTGCTCGCTGGCTGCTCTCTCATCTTAGCTAGCTATCTTCCGCAAAGATGTTCACAGTAGTATCAGCAGAAGGAAGCAGAGGAAAAAGAGGGCATTTGTACTGATAAAAAGCATCCACTGCTTTGTAAGCAGTACCTGGGGTGCATGCTGCATCACCTGCTGCTGCAGGACTCCTGAGTCTCAGTGCTGGGGTATAGTGGGGTGCTGAGAGAATGTACCAGGGCTTTCCTCCTTCAACATTTGAGGAGAAGAGCAAAATCTTTTAAGAAATCATCACAGGAGCAACACGTGGTGAAGCCATTTAACTTGGTCTAGTGACAGGCAACAGAGCACTGCTAAAGATTCCCTTTCAAAATCTTCTTTTGATGTATAAAGGACTCTGAGAGAAGGTCTCTGCTTCTGCAGTCACATGACTAAGGGTCCCTGTGCTCCATTGCTTTAGGTCAGGCTTTTCTGTGAGGGCAATCCAGACCAGAGGAGGAGCTGTTCACTGGTGTTGCACACACCGTCAAGCACTGTGGTGCCTGCATTAGTGTTGAGCAAGCCAGAGCTGGGATGATGTAAAGGTTTCAAGATATCAGCAAAGTCCTCTGCTATGCCTAAAACTTGGCAGGGACCCGTCCGACGCAATGGTGTCGCAGGTGGCGGATCTGCACAGAGGACCTTGGCCCCGTGCATCTGCTCCTGTTTAGTTGAGTCGGACTTGCACAGCTCCCTATGAAACTGGAAGACACAGCTGCGTGCGTCAGCAGCGTGATGGGAACCCAGTGGCTTCTCAGATTTTGCTTGGAGAGGGAGACTGAGGGGGTAATTATCAAGCTAAATCCATTCCTGGCTCGTGCCAGCTGATACCATCTGAAATGATGCTGGTTGTAGCAGGTGGTTGGTGCTGCTCGGGAGGGAAGGCTGGTGACAGCAGCACCTCTCAGAGGGGGAGGAGGGCAGGAAAGGACAGCTGCTCTGCGCAGCAGTGGGAGAAGGGGACAGAGCAGGGGTGGCAGGGCTGCAGAGGACTGGGGGGCCACAGCCTGATGCTCTGACCCGGGGGTCTGGAAGGGAGCCCAGGTCACCCCCTGCACTCTGTAATAAAGTAGGAAGCGTGTTGACTGCCATCTCCTGCTGGGTGAGCCTTGTGAGGGGGACACACGAAAGTTAATAAACTTAATTTCCCCAAGAAACTGCTGAAGACTGAGTCACTGACCTTAGATGCTGCTGAGGTTTGGCACTGTGTACTTAAGTCCCAGTGGGGAAAGTGTAGCACTCTGCGAAAGGGCGGCTGGTGATAGCAAAGCGATAGCCATTTTATTCGGACATTTTTGGCGGTGATGACGCCTACAGGCATGTGCATGAATTACAGTCGCATCTGTATGTTGAATGGCCTGTGGTGGTGGATTAAAGAGAAGTCACAGAGTCACAGAATCGTCTAGGTTGGAAAGGACCTTGAAGATCATCCAGTCCACCCGTTAACCTAACACTGACAGTTCCCAACTGCACCAGATCCCTCAGCACTATGTTGACGTGACTCTTAAACACCCCCAGGGATGGGGACTCCACCACCTCCCTGGGCAGCCCATTCCAACGCCTAACAACCCATTCTGGAAAGAAATGCTTCCCAATATCTAGTCCAAACCTTCGCTGGCACAACTTGAGGCTTACTACTTGTTTAAAGAGGCTCATCCCCATCTCTCTCGACATGGTTATCAGCAGCTACAGCACAGCTGGCATATTTTAGGTTTATCAGCAGCCTTTGTTGGCAGGAGTTCAGTAGAAAGGACCAATTCCAATATGTCTTGTCTGCAGCAAGTCTTCACGCTGTAGATGATGTCATTTCAAGACCTGGCAACAATTTTATTGCCAAAGTGCAAGGTCTGGGGTGGACAAGTGATCATCTGAACATATCTTATTGCACCTGCTGGGAATAAATCTTCTTACTCCTCTGCTTGCCAGCTGTCTCAGAAAATAACAGTCAGCCAGCATTTGCACAGAAATCTGTAAGCAAAGCAATAATATTTGTCTCAAAGTTTTTACAGTCCCTCAGAGCAGGAGACAACATGGCAGTCAAGCTCAGAGTAGAGAAAGCACAGTTGGTCCTTTTGCTGTCCTCCTCCAACGCAACAAACCGCAATTCACCCTCAAAGTGTTGATC